ATTAAAGTATGATGCGTCATCGAGTTGGCACGCGAGTGCCTTAACGGGCGGGTCGGGTCGGGTCGGGCGGGCGGACCCTAACGGGCGGGTCGGGTCGGGTCGGGCGGGACATTAAAGTATGGTGCGTCACCGAGTTGGCACGCGAGTGCCCTAACGGGCGGGTCGGGTCGGGTCGGGCGGGCGGACCCTAACGGGCGGGTCGGGTCGGGCCGGGCGGGACATTAAAGTATGGTGCATCATCGAGTTGGCACGCGAGTACCTTGACGGGCAGGTCGGGTCGGGTCGGGCGGGACATTAAAGTATGGTTCATCACCGAGTTGGCACGCGAGTGCCCTAACGGGCGGGACGGGTCGGGTCGGGCGGGCGGAGCTTGGGGCAGTCTGTGGCAGTGTGGGGCAGTCTGGGGCAGTCTGGGTCAGTTGGGTCAGTTGGGTCAGTTGGGTCAGTTGGGTCAATTGGGTCAGTTGGGTCAGTTGGGTCAGTTGCTGGCCCAGTTGCTCCGCCCACCCGTCTCAGTTGCTCCGCCCGCCCCCCGGCCCCCTTGGCAGTCTGGGGCAGTCTGGGGCAGTCTGGGGCAGTCTGGGGCCTGTCTGGGGCCTGTCTGGGGCAGTCTGGGGCAGTCTGGGGCAGTCTGAGGCAGTCCGGGGCAGTCTGGGGCAGTCTGGGCCAGTTGGGGCACTCTGGGGCAGCCTGGGGCAGTCTGGGGCAGTGTGGGGCAGTCTGGGGCAGTCTGGGTCAGTCTGGGTCAGTTGGGTCAGTTGGGTCAGTTGCTGGCCCAGTTGCTCCGCCCACCCGTCTCAGTTGCTCCGCCCGCCCCCGGCCCCCTTGGCAGTCTGGGGCAGTTTGGGACAGTCTGGGGCAGTCTGGGACAGTCTGGGGCAGTCTGGGGCAGTCTGGGGCAGTCTGGGACAGTCTGGGGCAGTCTGGGACAGTCTGGGGCAGTCTGGGGCAGTCTGGGGCAGTCTGGGGCAGTCTGAGGCAGTCTGGGGCAGTTGGGGCAGTGTGGGGCAGTTGGGGCACTCTGGGGCAGTCTGGGGCAGTCTGGGGCAGTCTGGGGCAGCCTGGGACAGTTGGGGCGGTCTGGGGCAGTGTGGAGCAGTCTGGGTCAGTTGGGGTGGGTCAGTTGCTGGCCCAGTTGCTCCGCCCACCCGTGTCAGTTGCTCCGCCCGCCCCCGGCCCCCTCGGCAGTCTGGGACAGTCTGGGGCAGTCTGGGACAGTCTGGGGCACGCTCGGGCAGTCTGGGGCAGTCTGGGGCAGTCTGAGGCAGTCTGGGGCAGTTGGGGCAGTGTGGGGCAGTTGGGGCACTCTGGGGCAGTCTGGGCCAGTCTGGGGCAGTCTGGGGCAGTCTGGGACAGTGGGGCAGTTGGGGCGGTCTGGGGCAGTGTGGGGCAGTCTGGGTCAGTTGGGTCAGTTGGGTCAGTTGGCCCAGTTGCTCCGCCCACCCGTCTCAGTTGCTCCGCCCGCCCCCCGGCCCCCTAGGCGCCACTGGGGGCGGTCTCAGTTGCAACTGGGGTGGTTTCAGTTGCTCCGCCAATTGCTTCCCGCCAGATGTCGCCGCGCCGTTTGTTCCGACGTGCGGCCTTGCGTCTTGGGGAGGGCGCCGCGTCCACCAGGGCAAACGCCACCTCGGGCGCGGTGGGTTTGCCGTGGGGGTTGCCGTTTTGACGGCCTCATCTGTTCGGACGCGGGACGCAGGGTTTGCCGCGGGTCTGCCGCGGTGTCGGTTTCATCTAGTTGGGCGCGTTGAAAACAGACGGCGTGGCGACATCTTTCATATACTTCATAGATGGGGAAATCCGTTACGATTCCCGCATCCCCAACAGCCCATCCAGAGACGATCGCCGGGTGAGCGACGCCAGAAAAAGGAGGTCGTATTCACCGTCGTTGGCGCGTAAGCTGCTCGCGGCGCGGAAGGTCCCGCGTGAGCGCTCTCGCTTCCAGCGCAGCGTGCCGCGCTGGCGGCCCGCGCAAGCCAGCGCGTGAGGTCGCTCTGTCACCTCGCGCAAGACCCGCTTTTCATCGTCGTTCCGGTGATTCGAACTGCTCCGACCAGGCCAGTGCAGACGCATGCCGCGGAAGAGCCGCCCCGGAGGGATCGGCGGAAGGCCGAGTCCCACCGAGAGGCGGACGAGCCCGGCGCAGCAGAGCACCCGTTGCCTCCCGGACCGACTCTGCGGCGGGTTGCCGGAGGAGCCCCGCCGAGGTCCCGCGCGAGCTGCCAGCCGAGGGGCCGCCCGGGAGCGCCGCCTGGGCGCCGGGCGCCCTGACCACGCAAGCGCACGGGCGCGCCGCGCAACGGGGGCACCCTGGAAGCGCGGCGGGAGCACGGGGCAGCGCGGGGGGGGCGGAGGAGGAGGAGGAGGAGGAGGAGGAGGAGGAGGAGGAGGAGGAGGAGGAGGAGGAAGAGAGGAGGAGGAGGAGGAGGAGGAGGAGGGCAGGAGGAGGAGGAGGAGGAGGAGGAGGAGGACAAGAGGACAATGTAGATCGGTGCCCCCTCCTCGGGGACCTCGCTTCGTGGAGGCCGCCTGGGAGCCGCCATGACGGGGCCTCCGGCCTCAAGATGCGCCAGACGTCCCAGGGGGGCCCCGGGCGGCCCCAGGATGGCGCCACGACTGCTTCAGGACAAGCCCGAGATCGAGAGAGCACATGGGGAGCCCAAGGCGCACCGAGACTTCCCCGGCGGCCTCCGGGGCAGCTCCAGACGCCGAAAGGGGCCCCGGGAGAAGGTTTGGGGCCCGGGCACACCAAGGAGTTGCCCGGCCTTCCAGGTTAGCCCAAGGGTTTCCCCGAAGGCGTGGGGTCCCCCCAAACCGGTCCTCGCGAGACCATAGTCATTTGGGCTCAAGGTCCGTTTCCAGCTCCAGCCAGTACTGCATGTTTCCCAGCAATGGGCATTTGGCTTGCGTTTCTGTGTGTGTCCACATGTGGAGCAGTGCTTGTGGATAGATGCACTGTTCGAGTATTTCCTAGCTGTGGTGATGTCAGTCGCACCATTCAGCGCGTGGACGATCGCCCCGAAGAGCTAGAGCTGTTTGATCCTCAGACTGGCCACGACACGATTTGCTCAGGCTTGGAGGAGCTTCCCATGTCGTGCGTCACCCGGCGTGTCGTCTTGGGGCCTGGTGTGTTCAGCGGCTACGGCAATACTCAACTGAACATTTCGGGTATGAACATGCATGTGATAGTTGTTGGCGACGGGGTGGGTCAATCGATCCTGGACGGCGCGGGCTCGCACTCGTTTTTTCAGGGTGGACAATGGTGCAAAGCTGGAGCTCCACAACCTTACACTAAGACATGGCTTTGCCGAGTACAATGATAAGCCAGGGAAGTATACAGTCCGAGCAGGAGGCGCGATTCAGATCTTGTCGGGGGCCAGCATCACTTGCACAAGTGTGTCTTTTGAGCGGAACGTCGCTGCGACTCTGGAGGATACCATTAGTGGTCATGATGGTGGTAATGGTGGCGCTATTTACTTCAGGTCTGCAGGCAACGCAACTTTCTACGACTGCCATTTCTTCGGTAACAGCGCCATTGGCGACGCGCCTAGGGGAGGTGCCGTCGCTGTGCTGCAAGGCACATCGTACTTTTCCCAATGCTCATTTGAAGGCAACGGCGCAGTATTTCCAGAAGGACGAATGAAATACAGGGGAGGAGAAGGCGGAGCAGTGGGCGTTCGTTCAGCAACTGTAGAATTCCTGCAGACAAGTTTCACGAGCAACATTGTGCATCACGGGGTCGGAATTGAGGGTGGTTTGGGTGGGGCTGTTTGTTTAGGCGGAATTGTAGGGAGTGCGTTGTTCGACGGGTGCATGTTCCATAATAACAGCGCCATCATACTAGAGTTCGATGTCCAGGCTCAAACGTTGGGTGGCGCACTTGGAGCAATTGGTGCCAACGTCACAATTCGAAGTTCCAGATTCTCATCTAATTTTGCTGGCAGCTGGTCCCTGAATGGTAATTCTGGCCAGGGCGGTGCAATATCAATGCAAAGTGTCAGGAATGGTCCGGCAATGGAGTTCTCGCACATTAACGCTTGGAACGTCACGTTTGAAGGGAATTACGCCGAAAATTCAAAAACGATGGGAGGCCAGGGAGCTGCTGTGTTTCTGCAGGATGTTCAGGGCGTCTTCACACAATGCACTTTCAAGCAGAATCACGCCCTCCCAGCGTGTACTGCCGGTCTTGGGGGAGCAGTGTTGGCGCAGGCAGTTGCATCACAACAATTAATGAATTACACTCGGTATGTTGCCGAAGTTGCCCCCAGGGTGCTCTTCGACGAATGCACATTTGTAAACAACAGTGCAAATGTTCGGGGATGCGGCCAAGCCACTATGGGAGGCGGTGGTGGCACAGCCATATATCTGCAGGCTATCAATGTGAACCTCAGGAGAACACTGTTCCAGGGAAACAGCGCTCTTGGTCCTGCTGAAGCTGGTAGTGCGATACGGTTGGCTTCATCGGTGGGTGATAGTCAACCTTTGCAATACCGAGCAGCGTTGAGTCTACAAGATTGCACATTTGTAGATAACGTTGCGACAGGCAAGGAAGTCCAAGAAGACCAGAAGAATGGCACCAGAGAGCTCTATCCACAGTTAGCCTGCGGAAATCAAATATTTTTCGACAGTAGGGCAAATCACGTCCAAGACCCTAGGCACCGTGGAGTGAAGCTAGTATCCGTAGCATTGCGCGGACACAACACTGTAAGACTTCGGTGCGCGCTGCGAAACACGTGCGAGGATTGCATGACGCCAGTATCGTATGGCCCACATTGCGGATGGGATCTGAGCATAGGCGAATGTATGGACATGCCTAACGCAATAAACAGTCTGCCAAGCTTGTCTACTTCATGCCAGTGCTCAAGCAATCTCTCTGGCTGCCATGGCCAAGGCGCATGCCATGGCAGCAGATGCGACTGCTTCTTCCCGTGGGGAGGTAAGGATTGTTCGCTTGCCTACTTGAAGCCCTTTCCACTTGTGTTCATGGGTATATTAAGCGTAGGATGCACCTGTTTGATTGGATTGTTGCTTTTCTGTTGGACAAGTTTTCAAATCGCAACCTGGCCCAAGATGAACCCAAGAAGAACCATCTGCGTTTGCTTAACCTTCTAACTCCAATACTCACGCTTGTTTCTCAAATCCTCTATGCGTGGGATAATGCGCAACACTGGACAGTCTTGGTTCCGATCATGAAAAGCACAACTACTGTTTGCACTGCTGCATTGGTATTCAAGATTCCTTTGGCCATGACGCTCACATGCGTATTCGTGGGCCGATGGCTGAAAAGCGGGGCTGGGCCCAGAGCATGGATGAGGACGAACAGTTCAGTCGCCACGCCGGTGGTCACCCTGTCTGCGTGCACAGCTCCTGGTTCGCTGGAGGTGCTGACGTGCAGGGCTTTCGGCATGCAGTGCTTTTCTGCCCCGATGTCTTTTCTCGACATATCCTGGATTCGCAGGGCCGCGTTTGCAGCAAAAGTTCTGGCCGATCTTCCCCAGATTGCTGCCACGACTGTGGCTGCTGTTTACACTGGTCGTCTAAGTCAAAATGGATTGCTCAGCGTCTGTTTCTCTGGATTTTCCTTTCTGAACACTGCCGTTGACTTAGTGCTCCGAGGTGCAGCACCACCACCGCCAGAGGAAGACAGACTTCAATCAGGTTTAGAGAGCCGACAGCATTCATTTTCACAGGCCATTGAAGCCGACGACATCGAGGTTGTTGAGACGTCGAGTGAGATGCGTAGCTGAACAATTTATTCGGCCACTTCGCGGGCTCACCATGAGAAGCTCTTCGTGGCATGCCCGCGACCATGGTCGGCCCAGGATTGCGCTTTGACTTCAACCGACTTGATTCCATGGCGATTCACGTGGCGATGTTTTGGAATTTGTATAGGCCGAGGTTCAATCGCTTACGCAGCACCGGCGACCCTTTAGGGAGGAGGCTAACCGTCTCAGGGACCCTCGTGGGGCCGTCTTCGGGTCCTCTTGAACCGGTCGTGGGGGTTCCTGGAGCCTCCCTCTTGCGCAGTCTTCGGGCCCTTTAGGGTCCTCTTGGGCCTCTCTGGGCCGTCCTGGGGGCTTCTTGGGGTGCCTTCGGGCCCCCATGGCCCATCTTGGGGCGTTTTCTTGAGTCCTGTGGGGCCCCCCTTTGGGCGTTTTGAGCCTTGCGTGGCCTGTCATGAAGCACGTTTTGGGGTCCACTTAGGCTCCCTGGGGGAGTTGGAAGCTCGGGAAGGCGAACATGCGAACAGAAACACCAAAAGCCAACGAACATCTACGGGCTTACCTCTCGGAAGCTCTAGGGTTCTTCCTGAAACCTTCTGAAGACATATTCAGGTCCTCTTGGGGCGTCTTCAGTCTTCAGGCTGTCTTGGGCCATCCTGGGGCCATCTCGGATCCCTCGTGGACGATCTTGGAGCCATTTGATGCCATGCTGGTGCGCCTGGGAGCAATTCTAGGGGATATGAACATGACGACAGTCTTAGCCCGACCCCCCTCCCCCCAAAGCTGGCCAGACCAGACTCGCGAGGGAGGATCATGGGAAGGGGAAACAATACATATCACACGCTGGAACACAAGGGGTCGGCGGCTGAGCTGGAGGCATCGGTGCCAGGACGGGGGGCACCAGATTGTCCAGAAAGGTGCAGGGAAGGATTTGGTGATGCTGCAGTGTGCCCACCTTCCCCTCCCTCCTGCTCTCTTCGCGCCACGGGGATGAACACGCAAGCTGACTGGGAAGGCCTTGCGGCCTGCGCCGCCGACCCCGAAGGCAGAACCTCCCCAGGGACCCCCGCTGGCGCACCCCCCTGGGGCCCGCCCAGGTCCTGGGGGGGCGATCTCCTAAACGGGGACTGCCCGCCCCCACCACGGGCGGAACCTCCCCCGAGGCCCCCCTCCAGGGACCCCCCTGCTCCACCGGGGGGGGAGCCTTTGTGCGCCCCGCCTGTTCACAAGGGGGGACGGGGAAGGGAGGGGGGCCCGCTGGGACCCCCGGGGTGGGGGGGCGGTAAACCGACCCGGGAGCCTCCCCCCCCGCACCCCCCTTACCCCCCCCCCCCCCGGGGAGGGAATCGACTTGACTGTAACGCTTCTTTTCTTCTGTTCGTGTTTCAATTCCCTTGGGACTGGCAACGACGACGGCGACGACGACGAAGGCAAAGATGACGACGACGACGACGACGACGACGACGACGACGACGACGACGACGACGATGACGACGACGACGACGACGACGACGACGACGACGACGACGACGACGACGACGTCTCACACATGCCGCAGGGTCGGCGGACTTCTTGCACGCTCCCCCATCACACCTCCTCCTTCTCTTTCTCCTCCTCCCCTCCCACTCCTCACCATCCCCACGTCCTCTCATCCTTAGGCTACGCTCTCCACTCCTGCACACTATTGTTGAGGAGGGAAAGAATCACACAGACACAATTAACCCTCGATTCCCCAGAAAATATGGGAAAGTATGGGAAGTGGGGGGGAAGACAGAAACCCAGGAAATATATGAAAATATGGGGAGTATCTTTATTTGTGTCTATTTATTTGCGTGTCCCGGGGCCCCTTCGATTGTCTCTCTCGCCTCGCACCCTCTCTCTCTCTCTCTCTTTCGTGCGCCCCCCCTCCTGCATGTCTGCCCTGCATCCGCCTTTTCCCTCGTCCGGCCCTATTTCCCACTCCCCGTGTGTAGCTTCCTTCGCTCCCTCTCCTCCTGCCCTCCAGCCCTCTGCCTCGTTACATTCGCCCTCCTGTCCCCTCCGTCCTCCTCCCCGCCTCGGTGATCCCCCCCTGCCAGGCCTCCTTCCTCCGCCCTGCTTCTCCCCGTCCCTCTCCTTTCCATGTTGCATCCCCCTGTCCTCCCTCTAACCTACTCCTCCTCCTCCTCTCCTCCTCCTCCTCCTCCTCCTCCTAGCTCCTAGCTCCTAGCTCCTAGCTTCTCCTCCTCCTCCTCCTCCCGCTCCTCCTCCTCCTCCTCCTTCTCCTCCTCCTCTTGCTCCTCCTCTTCCATCTCCCTTTTACGTCCGCCTCGTTCCTCCACCGTCCCTCTTCCCTTCCCCACGCCCTCATCCATGTCTCGCTTCCGCCTGTTCCCGCCTGCCTCCACTCTGCTCGCCTTGCCGCCCCCCTCCCCTGCCCTGCGTCTCGGTGCCACCGCCTTCCGCCCACAGCTCAGAGGCCCGAACACCGGGGCCCGGGGCTGCAGCACGCACGGGGCACTCGGGGCCCCCTCCGTGGCGCCTCCCCCCCGGGGGCCTCCCCGGAGCTCTCCCCGCGCTCCCCCCGGGCTCCGGGGGCCTCCCCGGAGCTTTCCCCACGAGCTCCCGCCGGGAGGCTCCCGAAGCCGCGCAGGAGTTCCGAGGGCCGGGGGCCCCGCACGACGGCCCCGGGAGGCCCCCCGGGCTGCCCCAGGAAGCTTCCAGCAGCACAGTGAGGCCCCGATAGAGGCCGCCAGAGTGCCCACACGGGACTTCCAGGAGGGCCACATCGGTCCAAAGCAAAAGGAGTCCCAATGTGTTGTCTTTTCTTTTCTGGAGTGCCGATGTGTTGCCAGCGCGTGGCTTCAAGATGGCCTCGGAGGCTCAAACGGTCCCGAAGAGTTGCAAGATTGCCAAGGATAGCCCAGGACTGTCGCGAATACAAGGCCTCAAGGCGATTACAGACACGAAGGCGTGCGATTCCAAACCAAAGGACCCGATCGTCCAGACACGGCCCCTCTGACGCGCTATACGCTTGGCCCCGTGGCAAGTAGAACTTGAGGGCGCGTGAAGCGCGCGGGATGGTTCTAGCATAAATGTATATATGTATATACACAGCTGTATATATATATATATAGAGAGAGAGAGAGAGAGAGACAGAGATTATCTGACCGTCACTGTACTAATGCGGGGTCCCGAGTGGGCCGTCTTCGGGGTCTCTCAAGGCCGTTTTCAGGCCGTCTTGGGCCACCCAGAGGGGGGATATCTAACACGTGGTCGTCTGGCCCCCAAGAGTTGTATAATGACTCGACATGTTCCGTCCTGGGGCCCTGGGGGGGCTTCCTGCGGCCTCCTGGGGAAGCCTCCTGCTGCGAAAGGGACCCACGTGTTTTCGCGTTTGTTCCGCCATGCGGCGAAAGAGATCCACGTGTGTTCACGCTTGTTCCGCTCTGGCGCGAAGGGACCCATGTGTTTTCACGTCTGTTCCACCCTGGGGCGCAAGGAACCCACGTGTTTTCACGCTTGTTCCGCCCTGGCGCGAAAGAGGTTTTCCCGCCTTTTCCGTTGTGGCGAGAGGAGCCCACGCGTGTTCACGCTTCTTCTGCTCTGGGGCGAAAGGGACCCCCGTGCGTTCATCGCTTGCTCCGCCCTGGCTCAGAAGGGACCCGCGTGCTTTCGCGCTTGCTCCGCTCGGGCGCGACACGGGCCAGCGTGCTGTCGCGCTTCTTCCGCCCTGGAGCGATCGGGACCCACGTGGTCTCACGCGTTTGTCCCGCTCCGGCGCGAAAGAGGGGCCCTCGCGCTTCCACGCGGCGGGGCCACCCAACGGAGGGGGGATGTCTAACGCGCGGTCGCCTGGCCCCCGAGAGCGGGGGGGCCACGAGAGCCAGAGGACAGCAACGCCTCGACGCCAGATGTGCAAGACCACGACGCGCGCCGACGTGGGGCCCCGGGGGGGCTGCCTCCCGCGGCCTCCTGGGGGGGGGGGGCCTGCTGCTGCGGAGGGGACCCACGTGTGTTCGCGCCCGGTCCGCGTTGCGGCGAAAGGGACCCACGTGTTTTCACGTGTGCCCCACTCTGGGGATTCCCTCCGGGGATCATCCGTTAAAATTGGAAAATCTGTACGAGCGACGTGTGCCCCACTCTGGCGCGAAGGGGCCCGCGTGCTCTCATGCCTGTTCCCCTCTGGGGCGACAAGGACCCCCACGTGCGTTCACGCGTGTGGTCCGCTCTGGCGCGAGAGGGACCCACGTGGTGTCACGCTTGTTCCGCTCAGGGGCGCAGGGGCCCCACGTGTGTTCACGTGTGTCCCGCTCGTTCTCGAAAGAGACCCATGTCTGTTCACGGTTGTTCCGCTCTGGCGCGAAAGGGGCCCACGTGTTTGCACGCGTATTCCAGGTGGCCCACGCGGATCTCTAACATGAGGATGTGTTGAGGATGTTTCGAGCGAAATGTGATTTTCACGTGTCCAGGTCGCCCAGGCGAATCACCAACATGGGAATGTGTCAGGGGATGTCTAGAACGAAACGCTCTTTCTGCAGGATGTGTTGAAGAGGTCTCGAGCGAGGGCCTCGCCTGCAGCGAAAGCATGCCTCTGCAGGATGTGTTGAGGTGTCGTGCGGGGGCCTTGTCGTCGTCTGGGTGCGTTTCGTTTCGGTTTGGATTCGCCCCCTGATCGATTCGCCCCACTTCGGAACTGAAACCGATCTTGAGGTCGAGCTGGTTGAACGCCCCGCATGTTAAGACTGCAGCCAGCTTTGGGCGAACCATGCGCGTAGGCAACTTGAGCTTAAGGCCCAGATGAGTTCGGACAGGATTGGGGTGCCAAGGATGGTTTGATCCACAACGCAACAGAGAACAGCACAGTTCAACACAGCATGGCGCAGCGCAGTGCAGCACAGCACGTATCAATAACAATTTACGCCAAACCGCGGCCCTGGTTATTTGCGAGGGGCCCTGCCACCTCAGAGTGCGCCTCCTTCGTCAGGCGAAGCGTGTTCGTCTTGCTTTGTCTTGTCTCGCGTCGATTCGGGTCGGTTCGGCCT